ATGACTGGTAAATCTACTCCCACGATCATGGTCAACTTAAGACTCCTGCAGGACCTGCTATGAAAAGAGATAACAATGATTGAGTTTGATAAATTAAACCCACTAAATAACTCTTATGTATTAAAACTTAAATGACAAATGAGTGGTTGGGGCATTCAGTATGACCAATCAAATAGGTGGGAGTAACCATCAATAATTAACACTTTAGTATAATAATATCATGTCATGATTCATACAATGGTTCTAATATACTGCTATTACAAATATGCATGTCAACCTGTAATTAATGCAATGTTAATCATATTTATGATACATGCAATCACACTAGATACCATCGTACCTCTAAATGACCCATTAGTTATTCATTATGTTCAACTTATGTCTAATTATATATCATATATTTATATGTATATAACTATAGTCGTTTTTGTTAAACACCTTGCATCGAGAAGGTAAATACCATTTACTAGAGATTTGTCACTTGGATGCCCACCAGCCTAGCTAACCAATATCCAGTAGGGTTCTGTTGACTACATATAAGCATACAATATCTATGCTTTTACAAGCATGTTTCAACAGATATGTGGGCTCCGAAAATTCGGCCCCGGATAGTGGGGGAATGGATGATGGGCCCGATCAAGATCCCATGGTTCCGTCGTCCCGGGCCATCGTGGTCCCTGGTCTACTTAGTCAGAGGAGGTAGTCGACCCAACCTGACAGAAGGATCCTTGTCGGCAGCCATGGGTTGCTTCGTCCAAGGGGACCTTGTAGACCTGGGGTGGGTATTTGCCTAAGGGGACAAATTTGAATCCACCTTAGCTTACAGAGGGCTTTGTGCCCTATCGATTATATCATATTGATTAATATCTCAAGGATTTGATGCCAATAAGGAACGTATCGGCGCTGGCCATAACCGGTATTTTGTGGTGCCATTTGGCGGCAAACCACTTGGTTCAGAGGGCCCCGGGTCATAACCGTTTATCCTGCGGTGCCATTTGGCGGCAAACCGCCGGTTAGAGGACATGTACCACGTCCTTACTTACCGGAGACTTTTTGAGAATGGATCCTAGTGATATTTTCGACTAGGCATTTGGCTCTATGTGAGCTGAAGTAAATTTTAATTTGTCTATCCTAACAAACTGTTGCGGAGGGTGGATGAATTTTGCTTTAAATGTTCGATAGTTGGATTTCAAATTTTAAATATTTTGGAGTTTGATGATTTTTTGAATTTTAGGATTTTGAGTTTTTTTTTTGGATTTTGGTATTTTGTGGAGTTTTGGATTTTGATAGGCATTTAGATATTTTGGGAGACATTTGAAAATATTTGGGAACACCTCCGGTTGAGATCTACATTCAACACGGCCATCATCGAGGTGTTTGAGGTCATTTCTCTTTCTGGATTGAACCTTGTCGACTCTATCTGGCTGTCGACAGAGGATCGGGTTTCGTAGGCTTTATGACTTTGTTAGTGAATTCATATTATTGTAGGCTTTGAAGGCCTAATATGAATGTATTGAAATAAATATTCTGGTCGCCACGGCTATATATTTGTTTGATGATTCGAACCATGTCGACTTCTATTGAATCGCATAGAAGGATCAGGTTTGAACTCGAATTCACTTATTGACCCGCGCAGCATCCCTAGACGTCACATGTGTACCAATAACATGTTCGCCGGGGCCCATGCGGGTATTTGATTACATTTACCCCTTTTAGTGTTCCTATGTGTATACAAACTATTGTGCACGTGCGGGGTTATTTTAGACATTCGACGAGTCTTTCATGATGGCTCGTAGAAGTCCGTCTTTGTCGTAGTCTTTTCAACATTTGCTTACAGGTACTGACCTTTGTGTACAATAAATTTCTTACAATAATTTGTAGGGATGATCGAGCACACACTTTGTATATTAACACCGATTACTGAATGGATTGCATTCACCACCAATCTTTTCATGCATGTTGACCGATAATTTGCAACATTTGATTATACGTCATTTAGTACTCATGGTGCTCGTTGTTTGTGTATGTGAGATATTTGATGTAGGTTGTAGGAAGGCTTTTACATTCTTTATATGTGATCACTGATGAGTCTACCAACTCCATTGTGTGTTTTATCATTGTCACCTATGAGTGACCCTTCAATCATCATCAATTATGCGATTACACTTGCTTGTTACTTGAAAGTGACTTGGAGTCTTGTATGGTAAATTTGCTTGATAACAATTACCTCTCCAACCAAAGTGACAAATCTTTAAAATTTGCTAAAGAAATCTTATATTATAAATCATGAACATGTTGCTATATGTCCATTTCTTCCTTGTTGATGATTGCTTGCAAGTTCCTCTTGAAGCTTTAGTCATTACAAGTATCAAGCTCATTCACTTATGTTTATTTGAGTACATCATGAATCGATTTGTTATGAGTCCTTGCTTGCTTGCAAATAGACTCCACTTGAACATTTTTTATACTTGGAAGTGGTTTTCCCTATGCATGATGAACTTGATATCATGTCTTTACCCCACCTGAGATGGTCATGATCTTGCATTCTAATTGAAATGGTAATTCTGTTATTATTACTCAAGACAAATTCTTCATATTCATTTGAGCTTTCTTGTATTCGTTTAAGCTCAAATTTAGTTTATTTAGTGTCAAGTACAAAATCCTTGGGTTCAAATTCTTTTGCATCAAGTCTCCAAGCCCTTGCTTTAGTTCAAATGTCCAAACCCTTATTCATCATGTTTGATGTTCAAATGCAAGTCCATAAGTCCCTCTATTTTAAGTTCAATTTCATTTGTGTCCTTGCTGAAGTTAATATGAGAGTCCAAGCTCAATTGCATGATCAAATACTTACTTGAATTCAAATATCCAACTCAAGTTCTCATTCTTGTTTGAGATCAAAGTGCGAATTCAAGTTCTCTTGTAGTTGTCCCAAACTACAATCTCAAGTCAAAAGTTTCTTTGCAATTGTTCTTTTGAGTTCAATTAAATTCTCTTGCAAGTTCATTTTTTTGTTTAAGTCCTTGAATTTTCGTTCCAAATTTCGGCAGCCTCACGGCGTCTCCCCCGTTTAGGGGAAAAACTAGGAGGCAACATTCCCCTCGACGCTACATGAGCGCTTTAGGTAGGTGTCAAAAATGACACCTCGGTCGCGAATGAAAATTTTTTTATCCCCGCCTGCTACTTGAGCATTTAAGGGTTTTTATGTTTGTTTATTATAAGAAGAAAACAGATGTTAGAAATAAGCAGGATTTTCCCCCTCTACACCACGTGGGCGTTCGGGGGTACTTATATAAAAATAAAGAAGAAAATAAAAACACATTTTTTTATCCCCTTCGCCGCAAGCGCCGCACCGGTTTCCCGCCCTACAACGCTACTTGAGTGCCTCGGGGGTTTGCCGGCTCGTTGCTAGCATTGAAGAGGGATCCTTAAATCGTCGCAAGCATCGCACCGGTTTCCCGCCCTCAACGCTACGTGAGCGCCTTGGGGGTTTGCCGGCCCGTTGCAAACATCGATAAAAGAATCGTTATTATTATTATTATTATTATAGATTAATTATAATTAAAAAAATAATTTATTAATATTAATGATAATTAATTATCATTAATTATAATTAATAAAGATTGATGATTAAGGGTAGGGATCACCTTGAGCTAAGAAAATGGGTTAAAGGGGTGAGTTGAGTTGAGTTGAGCTAGGGCTGAGTGGAGGGTGAGTAGGGGCTGAGTCGGGTTTTAGGTTTTAAGTGGAGATAGGCCGGGTAAGGGGAGTTGGAGGCGGCTATATGAGATCGGGCAAGGCTGCAGGTAGGCGACCGACCCTCTTCCTCTCTCTTTCTCTCGGCTTCTCTCTAGATCGGGAGGCGACGGGTTGGATGAGGAGTTCGGGCAGAGGAGGAGCCGGCCAGGTAAGGTTCTTCCTCTCTCTCACACACACTCTCTCTCTCTCTCTTTCTCTCTCTCTCTCTCTCTCTCTCTCTCTCTCTCGGCTTGTGTGGGGAGTCGGCAGAGGAAGACGTGGTCGAAAGAGGGAAGGTGGTTCGGCTGGAGTGCGAATGGAGGGAGACAGTGGAGATGGGGTCGACGGGAGTAGGCGACGGGTTGGGGAGTATCGTGGGAGAGAGCAGTTCGAACGGGAGAAGAGCAGCCGAAAGCTTGAGGGCTTGGGCTTGCTTTTAAAGGCGTTGGAGAGCAGTATTCGAGGGGTGCGTGGGATGAGCGACTGAATTCGGCGCCGCTGCAGAGGGATGGGTCGACGATTTGAGCGGGATTTCCTGCAGAGAATCGGGATGAGCGGTTACAGGTAATCATTTTAGCGAATTTTTTATTTTGATTTGTCTGTTTCCTTTTGGCTTCACCGTGGAGGTCAACAAGATATAAGATAGTCAATATGACAATTGAAATTTCATAACCAATATGATTTTCAATAAAAATATCATTTATTGTAATTAATAGAACTAAGATGCATAAATCAAATAATCCACAATAGAAAACACATCAAACTGATAAGAGATTGCGCATCAATAAATCTAGGTGAGATTGCATCTTCCACATGATACCTTCATTATTAGCAATAACATCTATAGCATCAGACTGAGCAATAGCGGAAATTTTAGTTCCTGTAAAAGAAACGTTGTATTGTGTTTTAGAAATAGCTGAAAGACTTCTAATATCATTGTCTGAATGATTACAGCAAACTTCTAATATCATTGTCTGAATGATTACAGCGAACATGAAGATAAACAAAAGTGAAGCAAGAAAATTGATTTGGCTTCCTGTGCCTAGAATTAAATGCCTTCATAACTATAAATACAGTTTTTGTGATGTTTGTAAATGGACAAAAAGTTATTTATACTTATTATGACACTAGTGATTAATATCCTTGCACCTATGCTATTCAGAGCCATGCGTTTGTAACCTGCTTTGTGATTTTGTTTTATTTTTACTTAAAAACCCTATTAGTTTTTGGAAGCTTGCTGATTCAACCTTCTCCTTTTTATGCAGGTCAAAGAATTCTCTTCTCATAGTGCTACTGTCAATGACATTTGCTTTGATGCAGAAGGTGAGTATGTCAGTAGCTGCTCAGATGATGGATCTGTGGTTATAAACAGCCTCTTTACTGATGAAAGAATGAAATTTGAGTATCATCGTCCAATGAAAAGCATAGCTCTGGATCCAGATTATTCTCGAAAATCCACTCGTAGATTTGTTGCTGGAGGTTTAGCCGGCCAGCTGTTCTTGAACTCAAAGACCTGGCTAGGTTACAATAAACAGGTATTCTTGTGTTCGGAGTACCGACATACCATTAGTTTCTTTATATGTATATGGAGTATTTATCATAGAATGTGTGCCACGTATTTCAGGTTTTGCATGATGGTGAGGGTCCAATACATGCTGTTAAGTGGAGAACCTGTCTGATTGCTTGGGCCAATGACGCAGGGGTGAAAGTTTATGACATGGTCAATAATGTACGTGTCACTTTTATTGAAAGGCCACGTGGAAGTCCACGTCCTGAGCTTTTGCTTCCTCATTTGGTCTGGCAGGTTGGTTCGGTTGCTTTTTATTTCTGAAGTAGTAATCTACGTATGTTTGAAATTCAGTCTAATTAAAGAGACTACTTAATAGATTGATTACTGGAAGCTTTATGAGGTTGAATTCTGATAAATGACTGCTTTTTTAAACCTGTACATTTCTCTGCCATGTATTTGCTAGGAAAATGTTCTTAAAACATACGAGACACCAAATCAATGACTTTTATTTCTTATGACCTCCTTTTGAACTGATGAGATACCATTCTTTATTATCAGTTTTGAATTGATTTTGAACAATAACATTGAAAGTTTGAAAAATTTGCCCGACCTCAAAATTTTCTTTCATAAAGAAAATCCAAGTTACACTTGGATGATCATCAACAAATGTCATAAACCATCGAGTTCCCCAAATATTTTTTATCGTTGAGGGCCCCACACATCACTACGGATCAAATAAAATGCTGTTGAAGATTTGTATGGAATTTGAGGATATGCAATTGAGTATGCTTTGCAATATGACAAGTTTCACAATGAAAGGTGCAGGATTTTAATTGATAAATAATTTGGGAAATAATTTTGTAAGATACACAAAGCTAGGATGACTAAGACAATAGTGTAACAATATAATTTCACTATCTTTATTGATATGGGAATTGGACACATAATTGAAAGATTCTAACAGACTCTGAGATTTGATGTAACTTGCTTGAGAAAATTGGTTTGATCATTGGTTACGTGGGTGTAGATATGATGTAGACAAAGGGGGGGTCAACCCTAGTCCAAAATAAATCATATTTTGGCTTCCATTGAGTCTAGTAGTTCATCATATTTGAGCTAAACTTTTAGTTCATTTATGAGCTGAACTTTAGTTCATTTATTGAACTAAGGGTTAGCTCATTATGAGCTAACATTTTAGTTCATTTATTTATCTTTATTTAAATGCACTTTTTATTATAGTTTTTAATGTCTTAAAAAGTTGTCTCTTGGATTTCCAAAATATGGCTTTTGGGAATCCAAGATAGTTGTTTAGTCTTCCCATGTGTGGCTCCTTGAATTCCACCATGGGAAGTTGAATTTTGTGTATGCCTCTTGGGAACTCACGGCTGGCTCCTTCTTCCATGCGGTTCCTTCGTTTCCCGCGGCTGTGGCTCTCGGTCCGTGCGGTTCCCTTCGTCTCCCGTGGCTGTCTCCTTGGTTCCTGGTTTGGGTGTAAACCGAGAGCTTTGGGGGGAGATTTCTATGCTTTTAATTATGTGTTAATTAAGTGTTTGTGACCTTTTGTATTCCCCTTTCATACCTATAAATATGAGGGGTTATGTAATGTTTTGAATAGTTGAATGATATTTGATTTTTGGAAAAAAATCAGTTAACCTGCGGGTTGCTCGGAAATCCTGCGGGCTCTTTCCAACCTTCTTTTCTCATCCCCTCCGGAAATCCTGCGGGCTCTTTCCACCCTTTCTTCTCGGGCTTCTAATCTCTTCGTCTCTCTGAATGAAATTTGATTTTTGGAAAAAATCAGTTAACCTGCGGGTTGCTCGGAAATCCTGCGGGCTCTTTCCAACCTTCTTTTCTCATCCCCTCCGGAAATTCTGCGGGTTCTTTCCACCCTTTCTTCTCGGGCTACTAATCTCTTCGTCTCTCCGCAAGTGCCACTCCACCTGTATCCTTCTTCTCAAAGTGCAGCAACTTTAGGGTGTCTGTCGTGTTGTTTGTAAGTCGTCGTTGTAATTTCTTTTGTTTAATTTTATTTGAAATATAAGAGTTTGTTCTTCCCTTTAGTTTGTTCGTCTCTTTTCTAGTCTTTTCTCTATTTTCGTCGTTAGAAGTCCGTCGTGTCTTTTGTGGGCGATGGGTATAGGCTCCCTGTATCTTTTGCCCGCATCAAGATAGAGCCTAGAGTATAGTTCAGCATTGCCAATCATCTTCCCCCCCGATTTCAAGTCCTGAAAAATACACAAGTTTGGATTAAATTTAATAACACATTTAAGGTCACGAGCCAATTTGCTAATGAACAAAAGATTACAATCTAAGTTGGAAACATGGAGGACAGAGTTGAGATATAACTATGTAGTAAATTGGATAGAACTTGTTCCAACAATTTTAAAATTTGAACCATCAGTACTACTAACGGACAAATGACCACTACTTGGCTTGTAATTTTTGAGAAGAGAAGCATCTCCTTCCATATGATTATAAGCACCATTGTCGACTATCCTGGCCTCATGTCTCCTTTGTTAGTACTGAAGGCAATTTGTGAATATATTTGAGCAACCAATTGTGTTTTAGTAATGTTACCAATGCCAACTTGATTAAACAATTTTTGCAGCTAATCCACATGCTTTTTGCTAAATGGGCTAGGCTCGGGAATAGGAGCACTCTCAGAGTTGGAAACCACATGTGCTTTGTTGTCTCTGTCAAACTGTGGCTTTGGTTTCCAATCAGTTGGTTTGTCATGGAGCTTCAAACAAGTCTCCTTGTAATGACCTGGTTTCGTAGAGTAATCACACCAAGGCCTTTCCCTTTTTTGATGATCTCCACCATTATTGTTAGATGATCGGACAATAAGGGCAGATGCATATAACATTGATGTGGGTTGTTCCTTAGATCCTATCATCACTTTCTTTCTACTTTTGCCATGCCTAACCTCTGAGAAAACCTCCCTAAGATTAGGTAGTGCTTTTGCCCATAATTTGACCTCGAACATCATTCAACTCCCTGTAATGTCCTAAGAAAACTTGAACAACCTTTTTTGTTTCACAATCTGCTTGTATAATCCTGCATCTTCTGGATATGTCCATGAGTGAGTTTCGAATAAGTTGTTTCCAATACCGTGTGAGTGTGTTGTAATACTGAGTAACAGATTGCTCTCATTGGCGGAAGTCATGAAGTACTGATTCAAGCTGAAACAACTCTGCAGTATTATTTAGAATTGGAGTAAGTCTCTTTGGCTGCATCCCAAATTTCTTTTACAGTCTTAAACAACAAGAAATTTTCTCCTATGTCATTGTTCATGAAATTAATAACCCATGTCATGATCATACTATTTTTAATTTTCCACTTTATGAAACCCGGATCTTTAGTCTCTAGCATAGTTGTTGCTCCCATGATATACTCATCCTTTTATTTACCACAGATAAACAACAACACTGATTGTGACCACTGCAAATAATTATGGCCATTTAATTTGTGTCATGTAATGAGAATAGGAGTAGAATCACTGCCATCGAGGTTTGGAATTTCTAAACTGCTTCCTAATTCTGGTGCCGTTATGCCGATGTTTGTGATGAGGCCATTCTATATTGCGAAGAAGAGATGAGGGAGAAGAATGTATAAGGTTACTGAAAATATAGAGGATTAAGAAGGCCTGGACAAAGCTGCCAGAGAGAGAGAGGCGGCCTGAAGGGTTAGGGTTCAAAGAATTAGCTCTGATGCCATGAAGAATGTCTTATTTGATTATTCTTCTTGTAAAAAATGTACTTCGTCTACAATGTTATTTCATATACTCCTTGTTATAGAATAAGAAAATATCCATGGATCGATGGATCCTTGACCGCTATGGCTGGTTAAGGAGATAATCTTGTAGACAAATCTACCATGTTTGAAATATCCCTCATGTACGTAAATTATTTATCAATGTGTTATTCCTTTCAAAAGCTCATTAAAGACTTCAAGTGCATTTTTATGTTTTTTCGTTCATATGATGTCTTTTAGGAGTAGGGAATGAGATGGACAATTGGCCCTGTTGAAGAAAGAGATACTTTCTACCCATAGGAATCTATTGATCTAGAAAACTCTACATAATCTTCATTATTATTATTTCTCTCAGAAACTATTAAATACAGTAAAAAAAGTGGCTTCAACCCTTATTTCTTGGCTATATTTTTTATTATTGTTAAAATTATGTTTCCTTCATTATTCAAAGAAATCAATATCCAAGAATTTCATTATGAAATTTCTGAAAGAGCTAAATATAGATGTATCAATTTTTCAAGGTGTCATGAGAACTCTTATTCATTTTTCTCTCATTCATGATGATATATAAGGACCGTTCTTTACTCTTAAAAATTTTGGGTTTGATGGTTTGTCTTTTTCGATGATTGCATCGTGTTTTACATATTAGTTTACTAAAAGCTAAAGTACTGTAAGTATTATCTTTCCCACCTTTTTTATGATCAAAAACCAATTTAGTGTGACAATTAAATAGTAAGAAATGATAATACCAAAGATTACTTTAACCATTTTTTCTCCTCATGCTTCCAAAAAATAATAACAAGACAGGAGTTTTCTTATGTTCGTACACCTCAGCAAAGTAAAATAATAGGATGAAAAAATGGATTCCTACCTGCAATCACAATCACAAAGGCTCTCACTTAAAAAAAAAAAAAAATCCTAAAATAATATTATAGGGGTGTAGTTTTAACTGCTGCTTACATCATAAATCGGTTATTTGCAGAGATCCTTGAGTCCAAGAGTCTCATACAACCCCTAAATTTAAATTTTTTAAAAGTGTTACTTGTGCTCATATACATTCTCATAATAGAGGAAAGCTTGATGGTTTAGTATTTAAATAAATTTTCATTGGCTATTCTCTCACACAAAATGTTAACAATGCTACCATTCCTCCAAGAGTGAGGTGTTTATGTCCGTTGATACCACTTATTAAAAATGAATTCTATTTTGTTACTACTTGCCCTAAAGAAGAAATATTATGTATAAATAAGTCTTTTGTCCTAGCTTATCCTAATTTACCTCCTCATCTCAGAAAATAACTCCATTCCCAAACCATCCACTCTTAGACAAATTGAACATATATTAGAATCACTTCCTACTAAGCAATCATAATTTTACTTGAGAAGAAATGCATCTTAATTTACGCAAGTCCAATCAATTCTATTAATCTCTGTCACTGAATCCACTAAAGAAACCATTAAGCATACAATTAAAGTTACATGAACTTCCACTAAACATATTTTACTCTTAATTTTATCATACACAAAATTTTCTCATAATCACTAATCATTCTTTAGCAACCTGCATGCTATTTCTATTCTTAAAGTAGTTTGTGGCTTTAAATATTGTAAATTGAAATTATGCTATTAGAAAAGAGTTGAATGACCTTCAAATAAAAAAAAAACATGAGAATATGTGATGTTACCAAAAGAAACTAGTAGAATATTGATCACTTTATTATAAAATATAAATCCTATAATTTTCTAGAAAGTTATAAAGTCAAATTAGAGGCCAAAGGCTACATCAAACATATGTAATTGATTATCTTGAAACCTTTGCTCAAGTTGCTAAAATAAGCACTATTTGGAGCTTTTTTATCATTAATAGTTAACATGGATTAAAAGATATAGTAATTTGATTTGAAGAATAGTGTTTTTTATATGGTGACTTTGATGAGGAAATATGAATGGCGGTCTTGTGAGGATTTGACTCAAACACAGAAAAAAATGTATGTAAGCTTAAAAGTGCATTATTTGGGTTGAATCCATCTCCTAAGTTTGGTTTAGAATGTTTGTCTAAGTAATGCTTAACATGCTACGCAAATAAAGCCAACGAGACTATATATTATTTGTGAAACAAATGACTTTAAGGAGAGTCATCACATTATTAATTTAATTTGACAATGTTATCATGATAGGAAATGAATTAGAAAGAAAAAAAATATCAAAGACAATATTACTCCAATATTTTGAAGTCAAAGAATTTGGCAAGCCAAAGTACTTGGCATTTAGTTGCACACTCTTGATGTGGAATCTTTATATCACCACAAAATATATATTTAACATAACTATTGAAAGAAGCAAGGATGTAGGCATATTAAGCGCCTATTAAATTTAATCATAAACGTGAAGATGCTCTTGGGGACCTATGGAAAACTTTACTACTTATTACATACTTGACTTAGCTTTGCCTACGTTGTTAGTGTGTTGAGTCTGTCATGCATAATCCTAAAGTACACACCTGAGGGCAACATATAGAATTTATAATATTTGAAGGGAATCCCAAACTAAGGAATTCTTTTCAAGAGGGGATGATTCGACTCTTGAAGCATATGCATATATGTTATATAGGTTCATGGTTGACAGGAGATTACTTGTAGGATATTATGCATTTTTAGGAGACAACATTGTGACTTGGAGTAGTAAAAAATAAAATGTGATAGCAAGATCTTGCATAGATGCAAAACTTAGATCTATGAGATTGAATCTATGAATTTTTATGGCTAAAAATTGTCCTAGTAGATTTTAATGTTGAATGAGAATGTCCTATGAAGCTATATTGTGAGAACAGTTAGCCATCAATATTCAAGATAATTCATGCAACATGAACAACAAAGCACTGTTTATACATGATTTATAAAAAGAAAAGCTTTACAGTGGTATAATATGTATTCTATTGATAACCACATGTGGATTATCAGGGTCAGTCTTTCAATTTTTATCAAACATGCTTAGAGTGGATGATATCTTTTCATTTGCTCTAGACAGGGTGTGAATCACATACATAATTTTCATTAGCTACTTCTCACACTAAGAATTCCACTCCCTTTCCTTCCACTTTCGATTCCACCTCATTGATCATTGGGATCTAAGATTGTATAAATATCATACAATTTTTAATCAATCTTTGAATTATTGTATTTATCTTATATTCATTAATATTTGATTTTATATATTTCCTAGTAGAAGTTCTTCTAAGATTGTATAAATATCATACAAATATTGGTATGAAATATTCAAGCAATCCTGACATCATATATTTTAAAGTTTCAAGGCAAATGAGAAATTATTTTTCTTGCTTATGACCTTTTGAACTAGCGAAGATAAAATGGTTTATTAGGACATTGTTTTTGTGGTATATCCTACATGCTTACAGCAAGTTTCTTTTAAAGATCAGTTTATATGGCTGTAGCATTTAATTGTGTATCTGTAGAGCAACTAACTAAAGGGAAAAAATGATATAGGCAAGAGGGGGGGGGAGGGGAACTTATTTGTCTTGTTTCTTGGGCTGCTGGTGGTTCTCGGTTTGGGGCTTGACTGTCCAGTTTTTAATGTGTTTTTTGGAGCTGCTATGCTTCAGCTCATTAATGTTGAGCTGCTGTTTTTTCAGCTCATTAATTAAAGTGTTTTTGGTTCATTCCCCTCTCTGAAGCCCTTCGGTTTCCTCCCCTTGGCTCCTCTTCCCGTGGCCGGTTTTTCTCCCCCTGGTTTGCCTGTTCCGGTTCCCCTGGCTGCCCTTCCTGTCCCCCTTGTGGCCCTTCGGCTACTGCTCCTGGACAGGATGTTGGCCTTCTGTATATATATATATATATATATATGTTTTTTTGTTGATAAAAAAATAGTTTTTATGAAGATATTTTTGAAAAAAAACCTTAGGGTTTTTGTTGAAAAAGCTTGCGAGCTTGTTCCATTTCTCTTCTACTCTTTTCGACTTCGTCTCGACTTCTTACCTCTTTCTTCTCTCCGCAAGTGACCACCCCATTTATATCTTTCTTCTCGATGACTTGACAAGCTTCTTTAGGTGTTATTTCATGTTCTAAATGTCCTTGTTATGTATTGTTTTTTTTGATTAAAAAATGTATTTTCTTATTTTTCTAGGAAGACTTTTAGTATGCTTGCAAAAATAGGGTCTTCCTAATTTTTGGTTGCATCACAAACCAGCTGTCAGATACCCAAGCAAGTTATTTCATTCATTTCAAGGGTAAAAATTTAATTTCCGATGTGCTTGTTGTATCCACCCGAAACAGCAAATTCCGATGTGCTCTTTATTTGCTTTCATACTACTTCATTGCAGAGCAATGCAATTATCATTTACGTTTTTTTTTTCTCACATTGTTGAAAGTGTTTAAGTATCGGTTTTGCATGATAGATTGTGGGTTCTTTTTTTGTTATATTGGGACTTCCTATGAGTAGTAACATTTTATAATATTCCCTGTTATTTCTCTTCATTTATTAGTTTCTGCTTTCTTATTGTGTTCATCTTAATTTTTATTATGAGTGCAGGATGACACTTTATTAGTAATTGGATGGGGCACAAGTGTAAAGGTTGCTGCAATAAGAACTAACTCGCTGGGTGTTAATGGAATACAAAAAAGTATTCCGACATCAAGTGCAAAGTATGTTGATATTGTGGCTTCTTTTCAAACCACCTATTACATATCTGGTATAGCTCCGTTTGGTGATGCTCTAGTTGTACTGGCCTACATTCCCGAGAAGGTGAATGGGGAAAAAGATTTCAGTAGCACTATGCCCTCACGCCAGGTAACATCCCTTAATAGCTTAGAAGGCATGAATAGTTTGTCTTGGATAGCTAATTTGTTTTTTTTTTAAAATGGTTGCAACTTCTTTTTGAATTGATGATTGAAAGAAGTGTGCTGAAGATATTTATGTCAAAAACGAACAAATGGGTGCGAACTGCATCTATTCAAAGAAAGTGTTAGCATTGCAGTCAGTAAATAAAACGTTGTAAAAGTGAATTAACAAAGTTAAATTGTTGCAGACTTAGTATTTGCTATAATGTGAATAAAGAAAGTAAAAGATCAATACACCAATGAAGGTGTAAACTCCAATGTATGTAGTTTGTATAAGAAAATAAATGTTAGTAGTATAAACACACTGAGGATGGTGCGAACAAATATTAGAGCTTTAGTGAATCAAGACAGAGCAAATAAGAAAAAGAATCACACTAATGAAAGCACTTGAAAATTTATGGTGTTTTGCTTATCCTCAAGTCTATGTTGACTACCGAAGATCCTTGGGTATTCCAGCAATCACCTTCATAACCGTGGATAATAACAAGCTTTATAGGCTCATCTCCCTTCACAAAGAAGAGATTTATCTTTCTTTCTAAGCATCATGACCAATCTTATAGGTGATTTTTTTGCAGGCTCAATATCGACCCATGCTTAAGGGCTGTTTGGTTTGTTGAAAAAGGAATGCAATGTAAAATAAAAACAGTGTAAAAAGAAATGTCGTGTATTTGAAATACTTTTGAATTGCTTGGATGAGTGTGAAATAAATACAAGATTTTTTTTATTTGGCTTGGAGTAAAATGAATGCAGTGTAATTTATGATCGGTGATGGCCAACGGTGGCGGTCTGTTGTGGTCAGGAGGGCCACGATCGGCAGTGATGGTGGCGGCAGGCAGCGGGCAGCGGTGGTGGCTATCAGCAGCGATGGCTTGCAATGCTGGTAGGCGGCTGCTGTGGTTGCGGCAACGACGACACGCAATGAAAATCTAGTGTATTTGAAAATATCCCAAATTTGAGGAATTCCAAATTCACCAAAAATGAACTAGAGGGTAAATTCCAAACCAAATGCTAATATTCTACAAACTCCTTAATTTAGATTACTTTACACCCTTTTTTACTTCGAACCAAATAACCCCTCGGTCATTTTTGCAAGCTCAAGGCATACCCTTAAGATCCTTTTCTCAAGCGAAGAAACAATGCTCAAGATCATTTTCCTGTGCTATGGAATAAACCTTAAAATGAAGATAGTTTCAAGTCACCAAAGACTAGAAACCTCTTCTTAGAATTTTATTTTGAAAATTAAAAATCATTTGTGCAATGTAAAGCTGCACTATGCCAGCTCTTACTCTGCTTAACAAACCTATTCACTATAGAAAAATGTGCTATTTCGTACAAAAAAATTCATCGGAAATCTAAGTTCTATCGAAAATTATAATTTCCGACAGATTTCTAACAAAATCATTTCCCTTGCTAAAATGCGCTTGGGAAACAGGCTTCTAATGTAATATATTTTCGTTAAAAACATTCCCGACAGCTTTCTAGTGGAATATTGACGAAAAATTGCTCAATTAACTGGCACCTTAAAGCCAATAGAAATTTAAATATCAGCAAAAAATTTCGGTGGCAAAATCCCTTGGAAATTTCAACAGTATTTTTTCGCCAGAGTTTTAGGCTGATTTGGGCAAAAAATTCGGAAATTCTTGCAAAAAAATGCTGCTAGAAGTTTCGGGGATTTTTCTGTTAGAATTTTCGGTGGATTTTACTGTCTGAATTTTCTATCGACATCATACCCTTTATTTGTCTGTGTCTCTCATTGTTTGTAATCATGTGCTGTAGTCGGTACACTGTGTTGATTTTGAAGAGAATCCCTAACTAGCTAAATCTTGATTTTTGTGAGTTTGTACATAATCCTTATGCGACATATGAAGTAATATAAATTCTTATAGATTTAACTTGTAAACATAAGCACTACACAAATTTTAAAAATAACTTTTCTTGATTTTTGATCAACCCATTGTTGATCCTCCTGATGCTGATGTACGCATGTATGCAACTCTAATATAATGGGTTCTTTATCAAAACTTATTTCTACAGACAAATATATTAGCGGAATAAACAAAAAAAATGGAAGCTAGTTGAATTATTTGTACACTAAGAGACAAGATTTTACCAGATGTTGTCTATGCTCCATGTGAGGAATTGAACTGTCAAAATGGAGGGAGTTCCCTAAGTCCCCACAGTCGGAAACTCTATTATGCTTATTCTACTCCCTCCTAGTACTATAAAAAGTGCAACAGGTTTTAGTCAATTCTCTCCAAACACTCTCCCCAATTCATAAAGGGCACTCTCATGACTTTTTGATGTTAGTGAACATGTCTCACAGATGATTTAAACCTCTCTCTTCAAAATTATTCCTTATCCTAACATTATGTTGAGGAAACCACTTGAAATCTTTTTTGGTTAACATACGCAAAGTAAAAGATGCTATTAGTCATAGTATAAAAAATGTGTATTTATTATAATTAGTACCAATGTACCACAAATTCTCGGAACCATATATCTCGAACATCCTATAGTATTTTCTTCTAAGAAAGATAATAAGCATCTTATTTACTCCTTATGATGCTCTTGATCTTATGTGTGGGATGTCTGAACGGATTAAAACTATAATACATATTTAAATTTGTATATCAATGTATGTTTAACATCATAATTTTTTTTTAAAATTAACATTACAAACTTTTGTCTCATCCTCAGGCTAAAAAAAAACATTATAAACGTAGGTGTCACCATTAGGCTCTATATACATCAGTTCGTCCGCTGCCTCCTCAACCCTCTGCTCAATGTGTAGATGGTCCAGCTTGATGTGATTGCAATTGTGGTGGTTAATAAAAGGGCTATTGGTAAGGAAGATAGGGATATGTAGACGGAATAGTCTGTGATGGTGGTGGAGGGTAATATGGATAAAAGGGGGTGGATAGTGTAGGATCGTAGGATGAGAATTGTGGGTTGGTGTTAGTTGTAGTAGGAAAATGAGTACCTTGGCCTATTGTGGCAACAAGTTGAGTCCTAATTATCTGTGATCAGTTGGTTTTGGCCCTATTGAGCCAGTGGTCAACTTCTTTCGCCTGCCAAAAATATAAATGATGGATTTGCAAGGAGGCTTTTCACCAGATGCCATCTAAATAAAAATATAAGACATTAATTTTACATTGCATATATATTAAAGTTGCACCAAAATGAAAAATTGTACTGAATCATAAATAATCATGAGAAATTGCAATATGTGAAAATTCAAAATATGTAATGGGCGAAAATTAAATTTAATTACAGCAATATGTCCTAAAAGATAAAATTTCTTGTTAAATTATTTTCTAATAAACATGTTTATTATGCTAATTTATAATGAACTATTCTTCACTAGAGGAGGTTTCACTAGATTCTCTTGTCTCTTCATCTACTGACTCATTCATACTAGATTCATTGTTGAAACTTTCAACTTCTTCCCAGTGTGTCTCAGTGATAGGGAATGTGTCCTTTGGTATATCACTGGCAGGTTCTCAAAGATCCAACATCTTATCCTCTTGATATATTGTTTGTATCTTGTCACATTGCTCAACAGTACCTTGCGGTTTGGTCTTGATGATAGCAAGTTAATCTTGTTTTATCTATAAGTCTAGCTGGATATCTAGCATAATAAACTTGACATGCTTGATGTGCTATGACGAAATGATCAAATTTAACTTATCTCCTATTACGCTCCACTTCCATGGTACCATGCATAGAAAGTATCATTGTGCCGCTATTTGGAACTAGATCAAACCACTCGCAGTTCAATAGAAATATCTTATTCTCTTCTTCACTTGAATATTGCAATTGAATAACCTCTTTCAAAATACCATAATAGTCACCTTCACTTTTTACATGAGTATACCTTCTAATATAAATACCACAATTTGTAGTTATTCTTCCCTTAACTCCATAACTAAGCATGAAATCTAAAACCATTGACAAGAAAAATCAGCCATGTATTTACTAGTCGTATTGGTCCCCATGCATGTTCATGTAAGCCTTTATTTAAATCATATTTCAAGGACTATGAACCTAACACATGTAAAAAACCAGTAAGTTTACCTTCACGCAATAGTGGTGGGACATTGCTAACTATCAGAAATCGAATATTATATGGACATATGTATGTTTTAACTCATGTTGGAATTCATCAATAATTATTCTCTTAATGACTTTCGTATTTGTCATCGTCGGGGAACTTACAAACAGTCTATATAGACAAATAATCATTAGGTGGAAAAAAAGCAGCAATAGTTTGTTGAAGACATACATGGAACAAAGTCTTACTCTAAGATATGATCAACTTCTTGACGGTTTAGAAGCACATACAACGTTGTAGCCTTAATCTCTATATCAATCAGATGTCTAGTTGTTCCAGATGGCTTTCCATGACTAGTAAATATTGATAATGTTGATTGATGCCTACATTCCTTGTTAACTTCTATGTTACGTCCAATCTTTGTTCTAAAACTTTTAATATGCTGTTCGAAGTAGTAGGAATAAAAATGAGTTGTCTCTTGTGTGAGATAGGCTTCACATATCAATCTTTTTTTCTTTTATAGGATATCAAGTTGTTATCCTATTGCCCACATGTAAAACATTACCAACTATAACACATAACATGATATTTCTTAATCTCATTTTTTTTGGCAATATAAAACATTTAAAAATATAAATTATTCATCATGAACAAGCTAATCGATACTATGCATCAACATATATAATCTATAATTGCTAGATGTCCCAATTTGGTAATAAAACATTTTATTAAGGCATTAACATATAATACTTCAAATATACATTTTGCATAATTTATAATTGATTTATAATCATTTAATCATTAATGGTAGGATATCAAATATATAATTTACAATATGAAGAATTATATAATACATAGCTCGCATATAAATCTAAAATATTTGTACGAATTGACGTGCA